AGAGAGAGGGTCGATCGCCGATCGCCGCAATCTCCCCCCTCTGAATTTTTTTTTTCAGATCGTAGCCCGATTTTTTTTTTTTTTTTTAAATGTGTTGATGATGATGATGCTGATGTTGATGAAGACGTTGTTGATGATGAAGATGTTCTGGATGAAGATGAATGGTTGATTATTTTTTTTATTTTTATTTTTTCGGATCTGAATGGCTGTTGATGAGGATCTGAAGATGAACATGATGATGTTGTTGATGTTGATTTTTTTTTTTCCTCTCTCTCTCTCTACTACTTTCCTCTTCTTCTTTCTTCTTCTTCTTCTTCTTCTTCTGCGTTATTGGGAAAAAAAAAAAATTAAAATGACGAAACGACGTCGTTTTGAATTCGGGGGAATCGGGGAAGGGAGAATTCGAGCTACGTAGCATAACTGTTAAAAAAAATTCATAATTAAATGTAACGTTAGACATAATTAAAAAAATTATAAGTCACAACTAAAATGATGTCATAATTAAAAAAAATAACATAATTAAATATACAAATGATATATCATTTTTAAAAGGAGTATATATTAGAATTTTTCTTGTTAGGAGGGAGTTGTTTGCTTCTTTTTTTTTAAACTCTTCCCAGGTTAGCCATCTCGGTGACAATATATAGTTCTCGCATGGCATGTGGATTTGGCATGTATTGGGGCTATTTTAGCTATAAAAAGAAAAAATAGACTTTTTAGTCCAGGCTAAAAGTTATCACATTCAAATCATAATCATTATATTTTTTCTCTTACAAAAGTAAAGAAAGTCAAAAAGTTCATCTCAAACGAGACTATTTTAGCACTAAGCTAAAATAATCAAAAAATCAAAAAGTCAACTCACATACCCAACAAAGCCATAGTTAACTTTTTTATATTTAGATGAATCATACCTTGTATCAAAAGTGTAAGTTTGAATTTTTCCCTATGTGTAAGTGTTACATGATTGAGAGGCCCTACTATGTACTATCACCAAAGAATGACGTCTGTAACCTCGGTTCCTTATGATCTAACTCTAAAAGTCATCCCTATGCCGTTAAGTCATTTACTCAACAAAATAAACTCAATTTTTTTTTATTATTAAAAAGTTTGTAAAAACAAAAAAAGCTAAAAATAATGGATCTTTTTACTTATTTTGGATTTTTTTTTTTTAAAAACAAAAGTTTTTAGATTCTTTTATCCAAGGCAGATCAAAAAAGTAAAAATAATAATAAATAACAAAATTTATAAAAATGTCATTAAAAAAAATTAGAAAAAGAAGACACTTATTTCTTTGTTCCCAAACGACCAGTAGTGACATGGGATGTAGGGTTTGTAAAAGGATTATTCTTTCCGATTCAATACGATTCTTACCATGATGACTCAAATTGTTATTTTTAGATCACAATACATAAACTATTTATAAAATAAAAAAAATTAAATTAATCTAATAATTGTAATTATGTTTGTTTATAATTTCACTTTAGTGTTCGTAGTGTCAATTTGAACCATTTGAGTCCAGATGAGTGGTAAGTTTGTAGGTGATGAGATAGGAGAATAAAGTGAAATTTTGTTTGAAAAACAAGTGGAGGCACATTTTTTTTTTTTTTAAATTTTCAAAAATCTTGAAAATTTTATAATCAATTTCACTTTTTTAAAATTAAAAATAATATATTAAATAAGTTTTTATTTTCAATTTAAAAAAAAAAACTTACTAACAAGTGCTCTTAGGGCACAAGTAAAAAAGGAAAAAAAATAAATAAATTTAAGAACACATGACACTCTTTACTAAATATAATACACTTTTATTAAAATCAATACACTTTTTAACATCTCACACATTTTCAACATACTTTTTACACATTTCCTAACATTAAACAATGCGTATAAAACAATTGTTAGTATTTACTTTAAAAAAATTAAAAAGAGTACTGCTATTAACACCTGCCTAAATTCTTTGAACTCCCAAATTTATAATTTTTTTTATTACAATTATACTATAAAGTAAAATTATATTAAAAGACCTCATTTAATGGAACACCTACCTATCAAATAAGAACTAACACTCTACAATATTGGACCCCCACCCCCACCGCCAACTAAACATATTTCATCTTTCTAAACCGTAAACTTATTACTCTTCATAATCAACCAACATAAACCCTAAATCTATTATTCTTGTGTGGGTGATTTTCTGATCACACTGCCCACTTAGTAATCAGCTGGAGAGCACCGGCAGAATAGATGACTTTAGTAACCTGTAACAGAAAGAAAAAGGCTCCGACGGTGGTTCTTCCACCCGGGGGCACTCCGACGATCAAGTCAGTATATCTCTCAAAGATAATCAAGTGCTAAACTCACAAGCTTGAGTATAAAACTGCGTACCTTAGACCCATGGGGGTGCCTCTCTTTTATAGTTTACTCAATCCAAGTCCTACTAGAAGCCTGATTTCTATGGACTCCAATTTAGTACTTACTTTGGATTCTTCAATAGATAAAGATAAACTTTCTTTGAGCTTTATCCTTATCTTGGCAAAGTCTTCTCTTTTCTCCAGGACTCTCATCCCTTATTCGCTTATCTCGGATTCCGATATCTTCGGCGATAACCTCGGCATCGCCAAGATAACCTCGGCACAGCTACCACGACACGTGGCACCTCGGTTAACACGTCGGCGTCATTATGCCACGTGTTGGTACTCAGAAAATATATCCCTACAACTGCCCCCTAGGTTCTATTACCTCGGCATTCTGAGGTGATGGAACCTATATCTGTATTTTCTTCTATTACCTCGGCGTAAGAGCTCTTTGGCCGAGATCATTCATGTTAGGCCCACATGTCTTCATCGGAGACTAAGAACTTCAAATGAATCCCTTTATGCGTATGAGCTATCATACATCACTTTTCAACCGTTCTATTCACGCGTTACATCCTTCTTGGCCCGTGTCCGTGACGTGCCTGTAAGCCGTCTTTCATCCGTCTGCGCCGTCTGACGCACGCGTTCCCCCAGGCGCAATAAATGCCGTTTTTTGCCGCCGTTTCAAGTTTTTTACAAAACTTTTCTTTCCCTCTTCCTTTCTCCACTTTTTGCATTCTGTTTTCTTGCTTTTTCTCTCTCTAAAAGCTCTAGCATTCTTTGAATCTGCCATTGCTCTAAGCCCCAAATTCTGCGACCGTCTTTATTCTTCCAGTCCCGCGAAGCTTTTGCCACTGTTACAACTGTTGTCTGATCTCGGCGAATATCGCTCCGGCTTCATTTTATCCGGTAAGCAACTGGCCCCCTTACCCTCTTTTTCTAATTCTTGATTGTTTCTGAAGTTTCTTGCTATTACTGTTCTTCTTAAGCATTATTTGTGAATCATTCACCTGAATGCGTCTTATTTCATGATTTTTTACATGCCATGAACACTTGCACTGTTTCACCACTGTTCTTGGCCCTTAACCCTTTGTATTCTTCGTGTTCTTGATAGTCCATCCCTGTTCTTGTTTCTGAAACTTCGCTTTTGTTTTCTGCTTGTTGTGTCTTTACCAGATCTGTGCCCTCAATCTTCGTCTTTATAGTTTTAGGTTTGGGATTTGTCTGTAGAACCTTCAATCTTTAGGAAAAACTGAAACAAACCTTACCAGTCCTTACCCAGGTTTGAAACCGAGGTTCTAGCAACCCTTCTGAAACACCTATCTTTTGAAACACAGCCTTCTTTGTTTAGGTCGACGTAATAGGTATGTTGAGACACCGGGTAAACACCCCAACTAAACTTGAATTTTTTAGGCAAGAATTTTCCATTCCTGCCGATGTTCACCTGAGGCTGGCTGAAGATAATGACTCTATCATGCCCATGGATAATTCAGTGCCCTTTCCTATAGTAGCTTTTACCGAGTGCGGACTCGGGCTTCCACTCAATCCCCTTTTTTCGTGAGGTTCTCCACTTCTATAAGTTGAACCCCATGTAACTTACCATCAACTCCTATCGAGTGATTAATGGTATCATTGCCCTAACTAGGCAGGAAAATGTTAGGATCACCCTTGCCGATGTACAATATTGTTATACCATGTGCCCCCTTAACCTGAAGGAAAGAGGTTACGTCTACTACCTCAAGCCGAGGTCTACTGAATTCAAAATTGTAGCCGACCTCCCGGACTCCAACAAGGGAGCCGGGGATGACTTTGTCATTGCTTCGGGAAATTGGGAATTTGGTCCAGACGAAGATGTTCACCTCTACCCTCTTCCTCAAACAGTTAAAGAGGGCAAGGGTAAGAGCCCAGCATCAATACTTAGTTATTTCTTTTCAAAGTCTTCAAAACTTTGTTTGTTTCTAATGTCTATTTGTTTGTCCTGCAGATCTTCATCAGCCACCAAAAAACTTTCACCAATCGTACTTCCCAGGAAAAGATTTAAAGAAGCTCCTTGATCTTCCAATCCACAAGCGCAAAGCTCCATTATTACTAAACTTTATTTCGACATACAAATCCACATTGCCCGACGTCCCGAAGAAAAAGAAGAAGAGCCTCTCTCCACCTACTGCCACAACTATAACCGCTTCTTCATCCCGAACAGATCAAGAGTCCACATCTGACTCAACCAATCAACCATCCACTTCGGCCCCATACTTGATCCCAATACCAGAAAGAAAACGTCGGCGATGCCTTGTCAAAACTGCCGAAATGGGTCGCGCAAAGCCAATTGCCCAAAATCTCCTAGCCGACCTCCCGACTGATGCTGATGCTATACTAACCCAACCAATGCCCCCACCGAAGCCAAGAAGAATCAAGAAGGCCCAGCCTAAGGCCAAGGCTACTGAGGTTGAGGCTGAGGATACTTTGCCTATCTCAAAACTGGCTGAGAGTAAGAAGACTTCTTCTACTCCTTAAAAAAGGTCTGCTGAGACCCAGCCCTCCGAGTCCACCCAATCAAAGAAGCCGAGGTCTGCCTCAGCTACTACTTCGGGGTCCAAGAAACCCGATGTCCCCTGGGCCCCAAAGTTGACTTTGGAGGATAGGCCAATTATGTCAACTGAGAGTGCCGACGACATTAATGTCGGTGTCGCCCTCAGTACTGCTCTTCTTCTTCCAAGCGATCTGGAGCGAAATGCTGGGTACAGCGAGTATGAGAATTATACGCTAATGCTCCAGCACTCTGTTCAAGTAAGTGTTTCCTGTTTTTTTTCTTTCTGCTTCATACTTAGAAGATTTTCTAGCACTTCTGTTTTCTTTCAGGCCATCCAGCACGCCCATTCGTTTTCAATGCAATCTTTTGAAAATCGGCAAAGAGTGGCCGACATGAAGAGGGAGGTTTCTGCCCTCAAAAAGGATAGTAAATCTCTTGAATCAAAGATGAAGAAATTGGAAGATCAGGCCGAGGCCGCTACTAAGGCCCTGCAGATAGCCGAAGAAAAAGTGGAGTTTGCTGAGGCTATTAGAAAAGTTGCGGAAGCTGAAAAGAAGGAGTTTAAATTGAAAATGGCTCAGGCTGAGAAAGAGCTTCAAAAGGCTCTGGCCACAAAAAAAGCCGAAATCAAAGAGGTTGATGAGAAGGCCTACGCCCAGGGCATGGATGACGTCACTGAGGAATACAAACTTCAAGTTAAGCAGGCATGCAACAGGGGCTTCTCCCTTGGTTGGATGGCCCTTGCCAAAAAACTCAACATCCCAGATGACTCGCCGTTGCGCAAGGCTGAAGTTATTCCTCTCCCATTTCCTCCTCTTCCACCCCCAAGTCAGGCTGAAGAAGAATCTGAATCTGAGTCTGAGTCTGAAGCCGAAGATGAGGATAACGATGACGGTGATGCTTTAGTAAGGAAGCCCAAGGACGCTGATGAGATCCAACCTCTTCTTCAGGATGATCAAATCCTAGACCTGACTCATGAAGAGGATGAGGAGGTTATTAAGGAGGCTACTCCTGAACAAGCATCATCTGACGTCCCTCCAACCGATGATAGTCTTAATCAAACACTTGCCGAAATTGATGCCGAGATCATGGCCGAGAAGGCTGCCGAAGTAGCTTTTCAAGAACCTGCTGAGGTCCAAACCCAAATTGCTCCTGAGGCTGAAGAATCGTAGCTTCCATGTCTTTTGTACTTTTTTGTTTTTTTGGACAATATAAGTTTCTTTGTATGGTCGATGTGCCTTCTTCAGAACAGTTATTCTTGGATTGTTCCCGCTTTTATGAAGGATTACAACTGTATTGTCGGAATGCTTCAATCTTTGAATTTCTGTTTGATTTGCTTCTGCATGATTCTGTACTTAGAATATTTTGCTACCTTTGTGCAATCTCCTCGGGGTTACATACCTCGGGTACAACAACTTCAAACTTTACTTCGGCAAGATATAGACCTGAAAACTCTTGATAAATTCCAACAAGTGTTTAACATATACTATTTAATATTAACTCTGCAAGTTTCTTCTCAAGTTTCAATAAGTATGTAAACAGTGATCTCGGTCTAGCCTACTTGTAAATTGCTACAAATTTCAACAAGTGAAGACAAGGAATCAGCTTAATTCATCTTCAACTTGTAAATTGCTACAAATTTCAACAAGTGAAGAGAAACAGTAATCTCGGCTTATCTTCAACTTGTAAATTGCTACAAATTTCAACAAGTGAAGAGAAACAGTAATCTCGGCTTATCTTCAACTTGTAAATTGCTACAAATTTCAACAAGTGAAGAGAAACAGTAATCTCGGCTTATCTTCAACTTGTAAATTGCTACAAATTTCAACAAGTGAAGAGAAACAGTAATCTCGGCTTATCTTCAACTTGTAAATTGCTACAAATTTCAACAAGTGAAGAGAAACAGTAATCTCGGCTTATCTTCAACTTGTAAATTGCTACAAATTTCAACAAGTGAAGAGAAACAGTAATCTCGGCTTATCTTCAACTTGTAAATTGCTACAAATTTCAACAAGTGAAGAGAAACAGTAATCTCGGCTTATCTTCAACTTGTAAATTGCTACAAATTTCAACAAGTGAAGAGAAACAGTAATCTCGGCTTATCTTCAACTTGTAAATTGCTACAAATTTCAACAAGTGAAGAGAAACAGTAATCTCGGCTTATCTTCAACTTGTAAATTGCTACAAATTTCAACAAGTGAAGAGAAACAGTAATCTCGGCTTATCTTCAACTTGTAAATTGCTACAAATTTCAACAAGTGAAGAGAAACAGTAATCTCGGCTTATCTTCAACTTGTAAATTGCTACAAATTTCAACAAGTGAAGAGAAACAGTAATCTCGGCTTATCTTCAACTTGTAAATTGCTACAAATTTCAACAAGTGAAGAGAAACAGTAATCTCGGCTTATCTTCAACTTGTAAATTGCTACAAATTTCAACAAGTGAAGAGAAACAGTAATCTCGGCTTATCTTCAACTTGTAAATTGCTACAAATTTCAACAAGTGAAGAGAAACAGTAATCTCGGCTTATCTTCAACTTGTAAATTGCTACAAATTTCAACAAGTGTGTTGCTGGTATACTGCGAGCTGAATTGTAGCTTTCTCTCTTCGTTCTTCCAAAAGATCCAGATCTCGGGCTAAGAGTATGTCATTGGTGCCATTCTCTACTCCCTGGGTCCTGATCCCAGGGATGCCGATCTCCAATGGGATGACTGCTTCTGTGCCATAAGCCATGGCAAAGGGGGATTCTTCTGTTGATCTTCTTGGCGTAGTCCGATATGCCCAAAGCACGTTGGGCAATTCGTCTACCCACTTTCCTTTTGCTGCCTGCAGCCTCTTTTTGATTCCATCCAAAATTACTTTGTTGGATGCTTCTGCTTGACCGTTACTTTGGGGAAAACTTGGTGTTGAAAAGTAGTTATTGATCTTGAATTTGGCACAAAAGTTCTTGATGAGTTTGCTATCAAACTGTGTTCCGTTGTCGGCAACTATTGCCCTTGGGATGCCAAATCTGGTGATGATGTTTCTCCATATAAAGTTTTTGATGTCCACATCTCGGATTTTGGCAAGAGGTTCTGCCTCTATCCATTTTGTAAAGTAATCTGTTGCCACTAGCAAGTATTTTCTCTGCCTAGTTGCCTGGGGAAGTTTCCCAACCAGATCCATGCCCCATTGGGCAAACGGCCAAGGGCTAGATACTGGGTTTAGGTCAGCAGCTGGCTGATGTATCAAAGGTGCGAACTTTTGGCATTATTCACACTTCTTTACGTAGGCTTCAGCATCCTTTTGCATGTAGGGCCACCAATACCCCTGGGTAATGGCCCTGTAGGCTAATGATCTGCCCCCAGCATGGCTTCTACAAATTCCTTCATGAATTTCATAGAGGAAATCCTCAACCTGCAAAGGGTGTACGCACCTTAAAAGTGGTCCAGTGAAGGACCTTCTGTAGAGATGTCCATCTTCTGTTAGATTGAATCTTGCAGATTTCAATCTGATTTTGTGTGCCTCCTTACGATCTTCTGGCAGCTTTCCTTCTTTTAGGAATGCAACAATTGCATCCATCCAGCTTGGCCCCATGTCTACACACATTGCTTGCTGCTCTGTGCTCTGTGGTTCTATGCTTGGGCCCGACATATAGTCGATCATAATTGTCCTTGTTTTTCTCGTATGTACTGAATTTGCCAGGTTAGCCAACGCGTCGGCGTGGGTGTTGTCATCTCGGCTAACTTGGAGTAGTCGACAGTTCTGAAATAGGGCTGCCAATCTGATGACCTCTTTTGCATATGCCGACATCCTTCCGTCCTTGACTGCAAATTCTCCTGTTGATTGGTTAACAATAAGTTGTGAATCACAAAAAACAATTACCTCATCTGCTTCTGCTGCTGCTGCCAGTTTTAGCCCTGCAATTAATGCTTCATACTCCGCTTCGTTGTTTGAGGCCTTGAACCCCAAACGGATGGACTGTTCTATTATTTCTCCATCTGGAGATATCAGCAGTACTCCTGCCCCCGCTCCTTGACGGTTTGAACTTCCATCGATGAACAGTCTGAATGAATCGCTGATGTAGATGCTGCAGGGTCTGAGTTTTTCCTTCCTTTGCTCTTTTGCCTTTGGTTGGGCTTCTCCTTGCTTACTGGGATACTGCTCATCTCGGCTTAATGGAGCCTGATGTTCGATGGTTTCAGGTGTGAATTCTGCCACGAAGTCAGCCAAAACTTGGCCCTTTATTGCTGTTCTCGGCCTGAACTCCAGGTCATATTGGCCTAGGGTCACTGCCTATCTTGCTATCCTTCCTGTTAAGTCTCCTTGTTGCAACAAGGACTTCAGTGGGTGCTCTGTTAGGACCACAAATTTGTGCGCCTAAAAATAATGGTTCAACTTCTTTGAAGCCATTACTAAGGCCAGCATTAATTTCTCCAGTGGTAGATACCTTGTTTCTGCGCTGGCCAAGGTTTTGCTTACATCTTGGCCTGAACTCCAGGTCATATTGGCCCAGGGTCACTGCCCATCTTGTTATCCTTCCTGTTAAGTCTCCTTGTTGCAACAAGGACTTCAGTGGGTGCTCTGTTAGGACCACAATCTTGTGCGCCTGAAAATAATGGTTTAATTTCTTTGAAGCCATTACTAAGGCCAGCATTAATTTCTCCAGTGGTAGATACCTTGTTTGTTTCTGCATCGGCCAAGGTTTTACTTACATAATAAACCGCCTTTTGCTCCCCTTTTTCTTCTCGGATTAGTACTGCACTTACTGCGTGTTCTGAAACTGCCAAGTACAAAAACAGTTCTTCCCCTGGTTCTGGTTTGGAAAGAACTGGAGTTGTGGTCAAGTACTTCTTTAGGTCGGTTAGAGCGGCTTCGCATTCTTCTGTCCATAGAAAGTTTGTGGCTTTTTTCACCAAGTTAAAGAAGGGTCTGTATTTATCTGAGCTTCTGCCGATGAATCTGTTTAGGGCTGCGGCCCTTCTAGTAAGCATCTGAACCTGTTTTGCCGACGTCGGGCTCTGTAGCTCTAGGATGGCCTTGATTTGGTCTGGGCTGGTCTCAATGCCCTTTCTCGTTACCAGATACCCTAAAAACTTGCCTGATCCAACTCCAAACGCGCACTTTGATGCGTTGAGTCGGAGCCGGTATGTTTTGAGTATATCAAAGACCTTTTTTAGGTCGGCAAGATGACCCTTAGATTCCTTGGTCTTCACGACCTTGTCATCGATGTAGACTTCTACCGTTTTGCCAATCAGGTGCTTGAACATTTTTGTTACTAACCTTTGGTAAGTTGCTCCTGCGTTTTTCAACCCAAAAGGCATTACTTTGTAACAGTACAAGCCTTTAGGGGTGATGAACGCAGTCTTCTCCTCGTCTGGTGGGTACATGGCAATCTGGTGGTACCCTCTGTATGCATCCAAAAAACTCATCCTTTCGTGCCCTGAAGTTGCATCTACTAGCTGGTCAATCTTGGGCAGAGGAAAGCTGTCTTTTGGGCAGGCTTTGTTGAGGCTGGTAAAGTCTACACAGACCCTCCATTTACCGTTCTTCTTTTTCACTACTACAGTGTTGGACAGCCATGTTGGATAGTGAACTTCTCGGATGGCCCTAGCTTCCAGAAGTTTGTCTACTTCTTCTTCTATTGCTTCGACGTGCATCAACGTCGGTCTTCTAGCTCGTTGAATCACAGGTTTTGCCGACATGTCGACATTCAGTCTGTGGCAAGTGACCTCGGGGTTAATGCCAGGCATTTCATAAGGTGTCCAGGCGAACACCTCAATGTTGACTCTCAAAAAATCTTCCAGTTCTCTTTCCTCTTCTTCGGCTAAGCCTGAACCGAGAAGAAAGAAACGTTCTTCGTCGCCCTCTTGGACTAGGATTTTCTTTAGTGTCTCTTCACTCTTTTCGGTTGGCTCCTTGACGACATCATCTAGGACCTCCATGTCCTTGTTTTCAATTTTTGCCTCTTTTGGCTCTCGAATGTTGCAAGTGGCCTTTGTTGCTGCCATGGAGCAACTTTTTGCCTACAGTTGATCTCCTCTGACTTCTTCAATTCCATGCTCTGTGGGGAACCGTAGTAGTTGATGCAATGTTGAGGGAACTGCCCCCATTGCATGCAACCATGGTCTTCCCAAGATGATGTTATATGGTGAGGGTGTGTCAATCACCATAAATTCTGTCTTTATTCCGC